GGGGCGGGGGGTTAGGGTTTTATTTTTTATTATTTTTTTTGTGTAGCAACCTAGACAGAATTTCCGTCTAGGTTCCATCCTAGATGGAAATTCCGTCTAGGATAACTGAAAAATTTTAAAAAAATTAATTGTTCCGTCTAGTTTGGCAATCTAGACGGAAATATCCGTCTAGATTGCTTCAAATTAGACGGAGCAAGTTAGACGGAATTTTTTCCGTCTAGTTTACCTCAAACTAGACGGAAAATAATTCCTTCTAGTTTGCTCATTTTTCTACTAGTGATACTATGAATTGAGTATGGTCTATTTAATTATCACACCTACTTATAAGAGGACAGCTTCATTAGTTAATGTGTAGTATTTGATAAGAGTCTGTGCTTGCTGGTTGATAGGTAACTAGTTCCTCACGAAAGCCATCCAGAAGCTAGAAAGTTTGGTGCATACTGGTCATCCATTCATCCTTGTGTTATCATTTTATGAACGTTTATCTTTAGGTTGCAGTAGGAAAATTGAAACATGTAAATACTTGGTATAACACAACTTGCAAATTGTTATTGGCCGATTAATAAAATTTGTTGTTTTTCTCAGATTATGACGCATCAATCTTTTATATGCAATCTGTATGTTTGAAGCCAGTCTACTGTTAAAACTTTGTACCGTTTAGCAGTTTAGGCGTGTAAGAAGGAATAGGAATCTTCTCATCTTGCAACCTCAGACCTTGTAGTAATTCTTCCAGTGAAGAGGACATCATGTTACTGAACCAAAAGCCCAGTAGTTTTATTGATGTCCGAGCGCTCTGATTTGGATCTGCTTTATCCAAAAGCTTAAGCTATGCGTACCAGGTCAATAATGTATATCAAATTCCTAGTACTCACCTCTGCATCTTGCACTTGATCTGCAGGCAGCCAAAGAATTCGAGACGGAGCTGAAAAAGGAACCTGAAGATGTGAGTATTCCCTGTCCTCCTGAAGGCCCCAAAGCTGTTAGCAACGGAAACCAGAAAGGGGACCCTGATTCTTGAAACATCAGGCACAAAAGAAAATGCTCGAAATCATGAGATTTGATTTATTTCCTGAGAGTCTCCGTAGTTCTAGTATTTGTATTTATAGTTTGCCGCTGTATATTCTTCTCGAGCTATGGATAATGCAACGGTGTTCGACTGAACAATTCGCAGTCTCCTAGCAGTTTATTGACTTTGTGCTATGAGAAAATTTGTAATTTCAGTATCTCAGGAGTTATTTTCTGTTTACCATGCCGTTTCTTGTCAAGGGAATATTTCCGAGGTGCTATGAGAATATATGCTACTATGTTAAAAATATTCATGGTTGTTATACTAGCAATGGCTTTGAAATCAAATTTGTCTTTATCCTCCCACACTTACTCTCATTCTCTCGCATCATTATTGTCCTAATACTCCTACAGTCCTACTCTCTTCATTTTCTCTCTCCTACCTCCAATCGTTTTACGAATGTGCCTTATGGAGAGTATAAATGCAAAAAATGAAAAATGTTAATTTTTTTTAAATCTACTATAAATTAAAAGGGGTAAAAAATATAATATATAGCTAAAAACTATTAAAAATATAACATTTAACATCTAATAGTAAATTGCTTATGTGTAGTTTTCCTTCCTCACTCTTCTTCCTTTAAATAGTATAAATAAACATCTTTCATGTAAATAAAATTTACAACACCACATTGACTATTAATAAAACTGTACCTTAGAAATGTACTCAAGCAAAAGACTATAAGAAAAACTTGCTAATTTTTTATTTAAAGTAAAAGGATTATTCTTTTCTCTCTCTGCAAATAGAAATTAGCCATAATACATTTCAATTATTTTTCAAAATCATACAAACAATGAAAACACTAAAGATACATTTTCAAGTTATTTTGCTTAAAAAGTTCCAGGTAAAAGATAAATTTGATAGGACATAGAATAGAAATTGAAGCTACAAAAAAATGTGGGAAAGAGGTATTTTGCTTCTCATCAAATAAATTAACAAAAATGACAGAGAACATAATAAGATTTGTCTTCCCATCGATAAAATTCACAACATAAAAAATATAAGAGGAATACAAGATAAAAATATTTTCCATTTATCAATATATAGCGTATATATGTATTTATTCTTTATTTTTTATATTTTTTTAGGAATCATACTCCCTTTAAAAGCACGAGTTCAGAAAAATCTTTCAGTAGACAAAAATACCCCTATAAAGTTTAAACTATCCTAATACTAATCAAATTCTAATATTTAAATTGTATCTAATGATTTATTCTAATCCTAATCAAATAACTTTAAAGTTTGAACTAGCCTAATCCTAATCAAATTCTAACTTTTAAATTGTATAACTATCCTAATCCTAATCAAATTCTAATTTTTAAATTGTATAACTATCCACGTACAACTAAATCCAACAACAAGATCCCTCTACATCTCATCTCAAAATCTCATCTATCAAAGTTAGTACTCAGAGCTATAATCATTGTATTTAATGATTTATTCTAATCCTAAACAAATAACTTCAAAGTTTGAACTATCCTAATCCTAATCAAATTCTAATTTTTAAATTGTATAACTATCCTAGTCCTAATCAAATTCTAATTTTTAGATTGTATAACTATCCATTTATAATTTTTAAATTGTATAACTATCCTAATCAAATTCTTAATCTCATAATTACAAAGACAAAGGAAAATAATAGGACATGGTTGTTATTGATGTTAAGTGATCACACAGTCAATAATTATCGGTGTTTGTATGAGTTTGTTGAGGATTGGTGAGGGGCCGCTTTCTCCCCTAACTTTATATCTGATTCTTGAGTTGAGTATCTGAAAAATTTGTATGTGTAGATATTCGTGAGAGGACGGGGTTTTGTTCTCCTGTTATACCTTCGATGATCAAGTTAGCTGATGAACTTGGGTGGGGTAAATAAGAACTATGAGAGTTCTTGTGTGTATGTCGTATGATTTGCAAATTTAGAGAATTTGGACCAGAATCAGAAATCACAAACCCTCAAATTGAAATAGTACCTTTATTTATACCAAAGTTGTAAGGGTGGATTGGTCACTTCGGCAGAGCACTGAGAGGCGGTGGTGAAGTATGGGCTGGCGGCTGCGTCAGCACCTGCTTTATATGTGTTGGCTGGTGACTGGGGGAAGGATCACTTCAACATTAAATGAGAAGTGAGTGGTGGCATGACGATGCACCACATGGTCCGATGAGTCTTGAAGACTATCGGGGCTAGAGGCATGATGCGCCCGCCATGCATTAAATGCAACGTTGACACGTTACCAGAGAGAGAAGCTTGAGGTGAAAATAGCCCTTTAGTTTCACCGAGAAGTAACGCCTATCGAGTCATCCTCATGAGGCATTGAACAAATGATCGAGTGGGCTCCTAACGAGTTGCCTTCGACAAGAGGGTCGACTGGTACCACCTTTCGCGTCGATATGAAGGAATATCGACTCGACGAGTTGGCTAAGTCAGAATCCTTGTTGAACCTGGGCCGCCAAGTTGTTTAGGGGCATTGCATGTAGAAGTACATTTGTCCGTTGCTCGGCAATGAATTACGTTTTGACGAAATAGGAACACCATAATAGTTGCCTATGAGAAAAAGGGCTTATACGGCTTTCATGGTAATAATTACATATAAGTGTTAAAAGTATATAAGCCTATTCCTAAACTTAAAAATACTTATTAGTTGATAGTTTTATTGCCACGTGAAATTATGTATTCTATACTAATCTTAATCAAATTCTAATTTTTAAATTTACAATCTTTATACAAAGAGAACTCTAATTATGACTATTATCCTATCACATGCAACACCTCAGGCCTATATATAAACCAAAAAATTACACAATTTTAATTGTAACTTCATGTCCTTCAATATGTATGCTCCTTTTTTATCTTCATGATTATTCTTTAGTAATATATTGTGTATTTAATTCAATAGTGATACTTGTCAATTGTTTACAATGATTTCTCCTCTTATTTCAGAACCCCTTTTGTTAGTGTGATCTTCAACAGGTATGTCCTATTGTTGCCTTCATTGTTTTTTTGATAGAAAAACAAGGGATATACCCTGTTCAATTAAAGATAAAAGTATATAGTACAAAATTGTTGGATACGAAATGTATCCAAACAAAAAGCGAGGATGTTAGATAACAGTAGGCTTAGTTCCATGTGACTAGGGAATTGCCTTCATTGTTTTTCTTTAGTACTATTGTGTATTTAAATCAATTGTGATATTTGTTATTTATTACTAGCTTGTATTTGCTTAATTTCTTTTACCTTTTATTTTACCATGTCAAAGCTAGCATGATTAAGAATTTGTCACAAAAAATAGATTGGAATTAATAGAAAAAATTATGCACGTGCTGCAATCGAACCTGAAGAAGCGCTCGTCTTCGTTGTAGAAGCTTCTATCGACGGTGGCCGGAGAACTTTAGTCGTCGTGCGATGCTCAGCTAGTTGTTATAGAAGGGATCTTTGCGCCCTAGAGAGAGATTTGGGTGGCTTATTAGGGTCAAATTGCGAGTTAAAAGTAAATTTAAGAATACATCCCTTAACTTTGGGTATTTTGCAGAGAACCCACCTGGAGTTAAAAATTAGAGCAAACCATAGAACGTTGGAGGGTTTGCATTAACCCCCCTGACTTTTAGAATTTAGAGAAACTCCCCTAAAAAATTGAAGAGCTTTCACGAGACCCTCTGAACTTTTAAAGTTTCACCCAAACTTTCAAGTAGGTTATTCTATGATTTGTTAGGAAGAGAGGGTTGGAGGAAACAAGGCAAGAAAAAAAAGTTCTTTTTTAAGTTTTACTCAAAGACTATATTATTTTTTCTAAATTTAGTTAAGGTCTCTAAAAACACAAGTATGTATAGGTAACTTTAGACTTTCATTGAATCATAATAATATATTTATCCCTAAACGTGTTTAAAATAACAAAATAGAGGTTAAGAAAAAAAGAAAATTTTGAAACTTTTAAACGGAAGAAAAAGAAAACAGTTAAAAGGAACCGCACAAATTTTATTTTTTTTGGAAAATTTTTAAATTAAAAAAGGAATCAATAAATGTGTTTACTAAAAAATGTTTAAAATATTTATCCCAAGACGTGTTTAAAATAATAAATTAGAGATAAAAAAGGAAAATTTGATGCCTCTCCCTTTCCCTCGCCGCCTCTAGTCGCCTCTCTGACGCGTCATGTCCCCATCCTCCAAGGTCCCTTCTCTTCCATTTTCTCTCCCTCAATCAAAGTTTCGATGGATCCCAAAGAAACATTTGTTGCCTGAAAACTATAATTATACTCGGAATCACTGATTATAGTGTGTTTATGTTGGTTTGGCATCATAATCTTATTACAGGCAATCAAGGGTTAAGCCATTTTTTTGTGATATGTAAAGCCTAATTGCAATTTCACTACGATTCGACCGATCATATCTAGGACCATTTGGTTTCATCGCCTAGCTATGGAAACCCGAGTTCTCTTAACATATATTTGCTTCTTGAAAATATTGTACTACATGATATATATTTATCCCTAAATGTGTTTAAAATAACATAATAGAGATTAGGAAAAAAGGAAAATTTGAAACTTTTAAATAGAAGAAAAATAAAACAGTAAAAAGTACCAACACAATTTTTGTTGGAAAATTCTAAAAGTAAAAAATAAATCTATAAACGTGTTTAATAAAAAAAATATTTAAAATATTTATTGCAAGACGTGTTTAACATAACAAATAGAGATTAAAAAAAGGAAAATTCAGACTTTTTATTATTAGAAGAAAAATAAAACAGTAAAAAGGAACCACACAAATTTTATTTTTTGGAAAATTATAAAATTAAAAAATGAATCCATAAAGAAATTTAAAAGGTTGATGTAAAAAAATAAATTCAAAGACTAAAGTTGCTTTGTTTCTAAAAGTTCTAAAATCTACATATTTCTTATTGGCCTATCATTGCCCTTTCATGTCATAGTTTCTGAGGACTTCACAATGTAGGCTTGTTTCTTTTCAAGTTTGCATAGACAAGCATGTACTCAAAACATATACACAATTATTTATGTGTGACCTGAACCCTTGGTTTAAGGATATGCTCTATCAACATTTCTTGTTATGTCATAGCGTGTGCATCTGATTGGTGCTATATAAAAAGGACATATGACATATCAATGTGTTTTTTCGTCATACCACTAATATTGTTTGAATTGTGAAAATAAAATGAATTTCAAAGTTCCACAAAGAAGAACATACATGAGAACTAATATGTCCACCATTAAGTAGGCATGGGAAAAAAAATTCAATGCTAATAC